TAAAGCACTATATGGATGAATGGATGTGTTGTGGTCGTGAATGTATGGTTTAAATTCTGTGAATGGTATTTTTATTATGTTTGTATTGTATGGATCCTTTGTATTAATTTTGTCCTATGTTATATATTGGCTAAATGTAAGGGACCTCAACGGGTCTCATTTATTGCTTGATTGTAATAGTAAATAGGATTTCGAAAATTGGGAGGGTTTAATGGGTAGAATTTATTTTAGGATATAGTTCGTATTCTTTTCTCCTCACCTCCCTTCTTTGAATGCTTTATTTAATGTTTTATGTGTTTCATTAATTTGCATGATTGACATGTTTTCCAAAGTTGTATTAAATTTGATTTTTGCATCTCAATCTTAATTAATCATATTATTAATTATTGTGAATCGATGAACAACGAGGAGGTCGGTTTTGATAGAGATATACTATTAACCATGCATATGTAATAGTATAGCTATGAATGATTTTCTATTGACAATTATTTCTTTGTATTTCATTGGAAATTTACATTAAATAAATGTTATTAGCATATGAACAATAATTGTAAAATTTGATTTTTGGCATTTTCCAATTCTTTAAATTATCATATTATTAATTATTGTGAATCGGATTTGAAACACGAGAGAGGTCGGTTTTGGATAGAATATTACTATTAAACCATGCAATGTAATAGTATAAAGCTATTGAATGATTTTTTTATTGACAATTATTTCTTTATGTTATTTCATTGGAAATTTACATAAATTAAAATGTTATTAGCATATGAACAATAAATTGTTTGATTAGTAACATTTTTGTATGTATTTAATTGGACCAAGTAGGGAGGAATGGGATTGTTTTTTAGTACTGACTTTTTTTAAACATATTCTCGAGGGAACATTAGAAAATAATGTTTAATTCTCTAGGACATTAGAAATAATGTTTATCGTTCTTAATCTTGATTTATTTTAATATGAGCAAACATTGATTGTCTTGTGCTTTGATTCATTAAAGGGTGAGTTTCATTATTGGAATAATGTTCTCGGTGAATTGGGCAAAGATATATTGTGTTTGTGAAATATTAATTAATGATAGAATCCATGTCTCGGTTTAGAGATTGATGATGCACTTTAAGTAAGTTTATAAGGTTTCATAGTGTAAATCCTATAGGTGGATATTGAATACACATGAAATAAGTTGAGCGACAATCTTAAAGTTATATTGTGATTTAAATAAATTGTCAGTAAGTTATTTAAATGACAGCATCATCTGTAATTTCTTGACGTAGGGGAACATTTATTATTATTGTTTGTGGAATTGTAAATAAATAAGGAGTTCGTCTGAGTTTTAGCGAATAGGAATAATTCATGGAGTGGAATAATTCATGATTAATTATAATAAGAATATGTTGGTCTACATAGGTTATTATTATAATTAGTAGCCTGATTTATTTTATTCCTGAGGTCCCTGTAGTGCCCTAATTATTTGGAAAGTTAAGGGTGTATTAAATAATAGATAAATTATTCAGTTTTAAAATAATTGATAATTATTTTAATTAAATAATTTTTTATTTAATTTATTTTATATTAAAAAAAAATATCTTTCTATCGAAGAGAGTTTTTTTTAATATAAGATTTGAAAACCCTAAGAATAGAGAGACGCACGTTATTCTATTCTCTGCCACTCAGAGAGATAGTTAGGGATTCGAGATAGTTTAGGGGAATTTACTGCAGAAGATCGTTGGGTGACTCAAGGATCTTTTCTGGAAAGGAAGACCGGTGAGCGGATTCTGAGCTTCAAGAGGTCAGGTTTATTTGATTTGTTTGATAATGTTTTTGTTTGCCTTCATATGGTTTTCGATTGAGAGTTGTTTTCCGCTTTATACCCGCTCCATCAATTGGTATCAGAGGCCCAAACGAAACTGTATTGATGGTGGCTATTTGTCATGTTTCAATCGTTGTATCTATAATCTGTTTTTGATTTGTTTTGATTGTTTGATTGGTACATGGTTACAAGAGCTTCAAGAGTTTTTGAACGACAGCAGCACAAAAGTGCAGTACCTGATACAACTTTTGTTTTTGAAACAGTGGTTTTTAATGGGCATTAATATAAAAAAATAAAAAATAAAAAATGGAGGTTGAAGGGAAAAAAAAAGGGGCAGCGGCGGCTAGGGCTTCTTCGTGAAGAAGAAGCTGCTGTTTGAAAAACAATTCCCGTCTGGTCCCTCAATTTTTTAAATTTTATATTTTTGACCCCTGATCTTTTAGTTTTTAATTTTGACCCAGAAAGTATCAGTTATTCCGTTTTGGCCCCCTGGAGTTCCCTCAATTTTTTTAAATTTTATATTTTTGACCCCTGATCTTTAAGTTTTTATTTTTTTGACCCTGAATCTTTCTATTTATTATATTTTAACCCTTGGACTTTAATTTTTTACATTTTGACCCAGAAAGTATCAGTTATTCCGTTTTGGCCCCCTGGAGTTATTTAAATTATAAAGTGAGCCTGATTGTTTCTGGTTTTATTAAAATTGCCTAGACTATTTCCGGTTTTTGCAATTTTGGCCTAATAGTTTCTGTTTTATGCAAAATAGTCCAAACAAGTTCTGAAATTTGCGAAATGGCCCAGAATTTTTCTGCTTTTGCAAGATAAACCCAGAATGTTTTACAAAAGATAAACCCAGGGGATGTTTAATTTTTTTGCATAAATAGACTAGTAACATAAAATTTTAACATTCTTTCAAAACCCAAAAAATGTTAATTTTATTTGGCAAAATTGTCTTAAAAAATATATATTTTGCAAATTTTTGATTTATAATTAATTTTATTTAAATTTATATGAAATTTAATTTTAGTTGAGTGGTTTTTATTATTTCTAGTTGGTAATTATTTGGCATTTTTCTTTCCCCAATCGGGAAAAAGATGTCCATTGTTTTATATAATACTGAACTGGTCTAATATTGGTCTGTGATTTAACTTCTCCATCTGAGTAAATTAATTAGTGACATGAATCAGATGTAATATTTCTCCACACATTAATTGTTAATTTAAGAGCATGTTATCTCCATCGAGTAGTATTTTGTGCCGGTCTTATCTAATTAATAATATGCAAAAACATATGTTGTTGAATTCTCCATCGAGGTTGCTATTCATGAGTGTTGTTGGAATGTGTTATTTTTTTCTTCTTGAATTTTGTGGATATCAATGTGTATATTTGCAATTTTGATTATTCAATGTTATTTATTGATATGCTATTTTTGTTTATGCATGATATAATTTATTCAATGTTTATTATTGATATGCTAATTTTGTTTAATGCATGATATAGAAATGGCATCATTCAGTCCCCTTGCAAACATCTTAACCCAAAATAAACTTGAGGGTCCAAACTATGTTGACTGGAAGAGGAATTTGGACATTTTGCTTACTGCTGAGGAGTATCAGTTTGTGCTTACTGAAGTTTGTCCTGAAAAACTCGGTGAGGGTGCCTCTGAGGAGGTCACCAGAGCTTACCAGAAATGGGTTAAAGCTGATGAGATGGCGCAATGTTACATTTTGGCTTCTGTGTCAAATGTTTTGCAACATCAGCATCAGAAGATGGACACAGCTTTTGACATGCTCGAAAATCTCAAGGAGATGTTTAGAGATCAAACTAGTGCAGCAAGGCAAAACGCACTGGGGGAGATTCTTACTTCCAAAATGGAGGAGGGAACTCCAGTTAGAACTCATGTCTTGAAAGATGATTGAGGTCTTCTGAATGGACATGAGGGTTCCTGGTGTAGGGTTGGACAATGCTACACAGCTAGAATGCTCTTGAACCCACTTTGCCAGCCCAGTTTTCAGCATGTTTGTTGAACTTTGATAGATGGATTTCCACTCTGTCTAAGTTGCTGAATGAGCTGGTGGCTGTAGACCATTCATTTAAGCAAGGGATAGCCTGCACCTGTTTGTGGCTTTTAATTGTTGAGCGAGGTTGTTGAGCGAGGTTCTTCTTCTGCCCAGAATAAGGGTAAGAAGAAGAAAAATGCTCACAAGGCTAAGCCTAAAACAAGTGGTGCATCTACTAGTGCAAGTGTTACTGTGAAAAAGCCTAAGGGTAAGTGTTTTCACTACAAGCAACCTGGGCACTGGAAGTCACAATGTCCAACATGGTTAGCCAAGAAGAAGCAAGGTATGTCTTTGTTTTATGTGCTGATAGTTGAAACTTGTTTAGCGGTGTTGACTATACTCCAATGGTGTGTAGATTCTGGAGCCACTAATCATGTCTGCAATTCATTGCAGGGGTTTCAGGTAACTCGTCAGCTAAATAAAGGAGATGTAAGCAGGTTTAAATCGTCAGCTAAAATTAAAGGGAGGATGTAAAATGCATTTTTTCTGGGGAGGATGGCACAGGAAGTTGCAGTTTTTAGCTTATAGGAAAAATGTTTCTTTTTGGATTTGGAGGAATAATAGGAACATTGTTTTTGAAGGATTTTTATATGTACCTTCAATTTAGAAGGGGGAATTTAATTTCAGTTTCTAGTTGAGGCAAGGATATTGATATTCGGTTTTGTTAGTAACATTTTATGATGGATTTCTGTTTCGTTATTAAATTTTAGAAAACAAAATGATTATGTTCTGGGCTCAATGATTGATGTTCTTTTTTTATTCTCAAAAAGTTTCACCTGACTGCAAATTCCTAATTCTGAAGTAATTAACTTTGATGTTCAAATTGTTTTCCATTTGGAAAAGGAAAAACATTTCCTATTTGGAAATTTTTATCTATTTGTGGCCATTTAAGGGCCTTGGTTCATATTAATTTTAGATAGGGATTTCTAGGTTGGGTCAAGGGATGGACCATTGAGGTTCATTAGGATTTCTAGGTTGGTCAAGGATGGACCATTGAGTTCATTGAAAGTGGAGGCACTACCAACCTGTGAATCTTGTTTAGAAGGTAAAATGACTAAGAGGCCTTTCCTATAAAGGGTAATAGAACTAATGATGTACTTGAATTAATTCATTCTGATTTGTGTGGTCCAATGAGTGTCCAAGCTAGGAGTGGTTTTGAGTATTTTGTGACTTTCACAGATGATTTCTCAAAATATGGATACATTTACCTGTTGCGCCGTAAGTCTAAATGCTTTGAGAAAGTCAAAGAGTTCAAGGCAAAAACGGAGAAACGACATGGAAAATATATCAAGTCGTTACGATCTGACCGTGGTGGCGAATACCTCTCTAGGGAATTCATTACTTATTTATCAGAACAAGGAATTACTTCACAGTTGTCTGCACCTGGTATGCCAGGATTATGCACAAACAGAAATGGTGTAGTAGAAAGAACGAAATTAGGACGCTTAGTTGGAAATGGTTAGATTCAATGATTGAGTTTATTTCATATTTGCCCATTCGTTTTGGGGGTTATTTGCCATAGAACAGCAAGCATATATTCTGGAATTTGGTTCCATTCTAAGTTCAGTACCTTAAACTCCTTACAAGGAACTGTGGACTGGGCAAAGCCAAGGTCTAAGGACATTGTTTCGGATGTGGGGTTTGTCCCAGCCTTATGTGCTGAAAGGAGGAAAGCAGATAAGGTTTGGAATCAAAAAACAGACTTTATTGCTCTTTATTGGGATATCCTAGAGGACGAAAGGTGGGTTTATTTTATAGTTCTCAAGCTAAAACGGTCATTTTGTTAGCACCCATGCCACATTATCTTGAGGGAAGAGAACTATATTAAAAAAACCTATTCCCAAAAGTCAATTATGCCTTTGTATGAATTTGAGAGGGAGAAATAATATACCAACTAGAAACCTTCCAATAGAAACAACAACCTAAACCATCATATGGTTTGGAGCTGAACATTCCATTGGCCTAGTCGTAGTGGAAGAAAGTTTTAGTCGACCAGTAAAATTCAGTACCTAACAAATATAATCACTACCACCTGAAAGTTAGTGGGGAGTTATGTAGGAACTTTTGAATGGCAGCTGTTGATCCAAATATCATGGAGCAACAATGTGGGAGGTTCTAACAATTTCATTGCCTCCTGGTGATGACAGACATGTTGAGTTCCAAGAACATGATTAAGATGTAGTTCCCACCCAGTCATGGGGACTTGCCGGGCTTTACAGCCACAGCAAGATGGAAGGTTGTGGATTGCAGGGGAACCTTTGTTAAGTAACTTCGTTCGTAGTGGGAGAATTAGACGACCACTGCGTTTCGATATTTAACACTTTTTGGGAGAAGCTTTTTTGATTAGAATCCCTTGAAGAAAACGTGACATTATGGAACCTGGTCTGTTACGATGAAGGCACTAACAAGATTAAAGATGCTGATAAGTTGGCTTGTCAGCTATGGCATTCTGAGATGGAGTCCATTGTACTCTAATTTAAGTCTGGGAACTTGTTAGAACCACCTTATGGAAGGGGTTATTAAAACCATCGGAATGCAAGTGGGATCTATAAGAAAAAGCAGGGTATAGAACGGTAAAAAATGCAAACTTTATTAAGCAGGCTTGATTGCGGGAAAAGGGGTTTACTCAGAAAGGAAGGGGATCGATTATGAGGAAAAACTTTTTTCGCCAGTAGCATGCTTTAAAGTTCTATTTAGGAACCTCTTCTATTTTCCATTGCAGCTCATTATGATTATGAAATTTCGGCAAATGGATTGTCATAGACAAGCTCCTAAATGGAAGTCTTGATGATGCATCTTATTATTTGAAAGCAACCAGAAGGTTCCATAAACAACAATGGACAAGAAAATTTGCTTTGCAAATTGAATAGGTCCATTTATGGGCTTAAACAAGCATCTAGGTCATGGAATACTTGTTTTGACCAAGCGATTAAAAGTTTTGGCTTTGATCAGTGTCATGATGAGTCTTGTGTGTATTAGAAATGGAATGGTAGTAAGGTTGTTTTTTGGTACTATATGTGGATGATATTCTGCTTATAGGGAATTGTGTAGGTATGTTGAATTCTGTCAAAGATTGGCTGTCCCAACGTTTTGATATGAAGGATTTGGGAGAGGCTGCTCATATTCTTAGGATTAAGCTTATGCGAGATCGCAAGAAAAGGATGATTGGCTTATCTCAAGCACTTTTTATTGATACCATTCTTGCTCGTTTCAGCATGCAGGATTCCAAGAAGGGTTTTCTTCCCTTCAGACATGGAATCACTCTATCTAAGGACCAATTCTTCCCCTTTCAGACATGGAATCACTCTACTAAGGACCAATGTCCTAAAGGACCACCTGAGGAGGATAGAGAACATGGGGAAGGCATTCCATAATTTTGGCAGTTGGAAAGGCCTTATGTATGCAATGTTGTTGTTACCAGGACCTGATCCAGACCTGATATCTGTTTTGCTGTTGGCATGGTTAGCAGATTTCAATCTAATCCTGGGCGAGAACACTGGACTGCAGTCAAGCATATTATCAAGTACTTGAAAAGGACTAGGGATTATAGGTTAGTTTATCAATCTGACGATCTTGTACCCATTGGGTATACAGATTCGGATTTTCAGACTGATAAGGACTCTCGGAAGTCAACCTCTGGTAATGCTTTTGTCTTGGGAGGTGGAGCCATAAGTTGGAGGAGTATTAAGCAAACTTGTGTTGCTGACTCCACCATGGAAGTTGAATATGTGGCAGCTTCTGAAGCTGCAAAGGAAGCTGTATGGCTTAGGAACTTCCTTATGGATCTAGGCGTAGTTTCTTCAGTGCAATTGCTAATTGTGATAATAGTGGGGGCAGTTGCAAAACTCGGAAAGAGCCACGGAGCCATTAAAAGGGCAAAACACATTTGAGAGGGAAAAGTCTCATTTGATACGAGACCATAGTTCAAAAGCGGAGATGTTTCGGTTAGTGGAAACACAGACTCCGCATCGGAAAAACCAACTCGCGCTATTTTCCTTTTACAAAAATGCTTACAGCATAAGACTTTTGAACACTCTTGTAGAAGGGAATTGGGAGTTTAAGTTATAGGATGCTGGTTATGAGTTCTAAGTGGGAGATTTATAGAGAGATACTAATTTAAACCATGCATATGTTAATAGATTAGCTAATGAATGATTTCTATTGACAAATTATTTCTTTTGTATTTTTCATGGAAACTTAGACTCTCTCCGCAATGTTTATTAGCATTATTTGAAACCATAATTGTGATTAGTACATTTTTTGTCATGTAATTTAATTGGGGACCAAGTCAAGAGAATGGATGTTTAGTACTTTTAGTAATGACTGTTAAACATATTCTCTAAGACATTAGAAATAATGTTTATTGTTCTTAATCTTGATTTATTTTAATATGAGCAAACATTGATTGTCTTATGCTTTGATTCATTAAAGGATGAGTTTCATTATTGGAATAATATTCTCGGTGAATTGGGCAAAGCTTTTTGTGTTTGTGAAATATTAATTAATGATAGAATCAATGTCTCGGTTTAGAGATTGATGATGCACTTTAAGTAAGCTTATAAGGTTTCATAGTGTAAACCCTGCAGGTGGATTTTGAATCCGACACATGAAATAGGTTGTTGTATCGACACATGGAAAATAAGTTGAGGCGACCATCTTAAAGGTTTATTATGATCGCGATATATATATATAATATATACACTAAGTTTTAAATTTGACACAATCTGAAGTGCTCACCGTGAGGGGAACATTATGAAGTGTTTTATGTTGTGGAATATGTAAAATACCAGTGATGCTGAGTATTCATGATTAATTATAATTGAGAATATGGTTACGCGTCTTCCATAAGGTTTCTTATTATAATTAGTAAGTGCCTTATGCGCATATATATGCAATATACGTATGCAATCCTCGCGGGTCCCCGAGTCTCATGTAGTATGTGCAGACCAGGTGTAGGGTGTATTAATAATGTAATATAAATTATAATAATCCTCTTATATATATTCCTCATGAAAAACTCTCTCCTCCTCCTGTGATCGAAGAGAGGTTTTTTTAAAATATAAGATTGGGAAAAACACATAGATATATCTACTGTTTGTTGGTATATATATATCCTCCCGCTCCGTGAGAGGATGTTAGGGATTACTTTGCAGGAAGATCGTGGGTGACTCCACGCTCTCCTCTCGCGCCCAAAAGACGGGTGAGCGATTCTTGCGGCTTTCAAGAGGTCAGTTTTTATTGATTTGTTTTTGATTAAAATGTTTTTTAGTTTGCCTCATTATTGGTTCTGCATTGAGGGGTTGGTTTTTCCGCCTTTATACCCGCCTCCCTTCAGGTTTTTAACTGGAGCGATTAGGGGTGCCTAAACCACCTTTTTCTATTATCATACTTAACATTCCAAAAAAAGCCTATCCTTCTGGTTTAAAATCCGAGTTAAATTCGATTTCAAAGGGAATGACTTAATTTCAATAATTTTTTCCTAATATTAAGGGGTGGCGGGACTCCTAAATCTAAAACTATTTTTTACCAAAATTTTAAGAGGTCTTTTTTTACAAAAATCCCTTTTCAAAAAAGGATTGCCTTCTTGAGTATTTAATAAACAGGTTTTTTAATAACAAGAAAACTGCTTTTATTTAAAATTAAATCAAAAACCAAACCTGTCCGGGAATCAGGTTTTGTTTGATTTTTATTTTAATATTTTAAGTAGTTTACTTTTTTTATTTAAACCTTGTTTTATTTAATACCTCAATTTGAGGGTGAGTTTTTCAACTGGTATGAGGGGCGTTCGCGCATCAAGCTGGGGCAATTTTGGCGGAGGCTTTTCTCGGATACGAGGAAAATATATCTATAAAGTTTTTATTATAAAAATAAACAAACACAGATTAAAAAAGGTATTGGGCCAATTGATATTATTGCCATGCATTAGGGCAATGAAAATATGGCAGGTTACTAATGATTTCATGAAATGTATGCAGAAGGGAAGCTAGCATGGCACCTTCCGGGGAACAAAGGTTTCCAGGGGCTGGAGAATTTTCAGGCATTGGGCGAAAAGTTTTAGGGGAAGGGCTGGATCCCGGGCGGGGGGGCTTCTGGGGTTTTCGTAGGGGCCTTAATAATTCATTTTGAAAAAAAAAAGGGGAGACGGGAAGGGGGGGGAAAAATTTCTTTTTTTAATTTTTGACGGGGTTCGGGACTTTTTTTTGAGGGGGAAACCAAGGCCTTTTTAGTTGTTCTCCGGAGGAGTGCCATGCCCACTGTTTATTCTATTTACTTCTGCCTTCTATTGGTATTTGGGAACCTAGTTTATGTCACGAATCCTCTCTCT